CAATTAGTGGTTGTAAGGTTCCTTTTAAGGCATTCTTATAAGTCATAGGCACCTGTAATAAGAATCAAAATTTATTCTAAGGATATGCATCTAAAATAGAATCATTTACAAAGCTTAAAAAATGCATAGATAGTCCATGGATTCAACTTGAAATGAATTTGTAGAATACATCATTTATTATGATCGAATAATTTGGTATCATTTTCAAATTGAGTAGAATGTGTTTAAAAAAAAGCATGAATAGCAGTCTATAGTTTTAATATGGTTTATGATTTATAAATCTAAATATTATCTATTCTTCACTAATATGAATAAATTAAAATGCCTAGAACAAAATTTTAAAGTTATTTGACAAAACATAAAAAACGTCCAAAATTCACCTATATCCAATTATTAAACTCAATTTTAGTAAATTTTATCTACTTTTTACTAATGTAAATAAATTTAAATGAACGGAACAAAACTTCCAAGATATTCAACCAAATGTAGAAAAATAACCCAAATCCACATATTACTATATCAAACCCAAACCTGTGTTCCAACTAACTATTCAAACTTTTGATAGCCAAGTAGTGCATATATAGATTTATATTAAATTCTAGCAAATTTAATCTAGTTTATGTGTCCGGAATAACATTTTCAAAATATTTGACAAAATGTGTAAAAATGTCCTACAACCAAATATTAGTTACATTGGAAATTTCAATATTTAAGTGCATATAATAATTTATATTAAATTTGAGTAAATTTTATCTAGTTTAGACTGATATAAAAAAATCTGAATGTCTAGAACAAAATTTCCAAGTTATTTGACAAAATGTAAAAAAATGTTCTAACTCCACTGCGAAGTTAATAAATTTTATCTAGTTTATACTAAAATAAACAAATAAAAGTGTCCGAAACTAAATTTCCGAGGTATTTGACAAAATGTAAAAAATGTCCCAAACACTCATATTGGCAATTACTAAAAATTAATCAAAATATGCAAAAGAACTTCAAATTTAGCAAAATGCGTTTAAAAAAACATGAATAAAACATTCCATAGTAGACTATAGTTTTAATAATTTTAATATATAACTTATAAATCATATAGAACATAATTGTATTGTTAGCTCGCTAAGAATGGCATTTTAAAGCATATCGCGTTTCTTTAAAAGAATCAAATGTTAAAAAAAAATTATAGGTAATTTAAGTGCAAACTTCCTAAATATTTCAGTAACATTAGACAACAAATAATTTTTATCTGATCAATTAAATTTAATTAATGGCACTTATGATTCAAAAGAGCAAAAGAGCACATATATTTTTTGCCCCATTTATGATGTAAATATTGAGAATAACAACTTATATTAATTATTCTTAACATAAAAATTAATACACTAATATTTGTTTTCACAGAAAACATTCAAAAACTTATTTCCTTGTTACCTTTTTTGAAATATTTCTGATTTTGAATAGTTTTAAAAAAAGTAAGAAAAGACTAAATCTGAGCTATTCCACTTAATTATTAAACATTTATTTAATTCATTAAAAAATTTAAAACACATTTGAAAATAAATCTGTCACAACAGACATTTCTGAAAACAGCCGTCTATTTTGACGTTTAATGTTTGACGTTTGACAATTCTAACCTCAAACAATATAATTCAATTTTGATGTTTAAAGCAACAATTAAAAATTGTTTTGGACTTAAATCAATATCACAATGTGTTGAAAATGTATTTAACAAATATTTGTTTAGAAATATGCCCAATACTTTGCCTTAAAATAAAAATAATTATTTTGTACTTACCTAAATCACAAGAAACACACTTTAACTTTAAATCTATTTAAATTTATGATGTGGATAATTATTATTACAATTATACAAGAAACTTGTTCTACCAAGTCTCAAACAACACAGAGGGTTTGTTCAATCCGAGCCAAACTGACAGTCCGAAACTGCCCACGCATGCGCAGAACTGTAGAATTTATGTTAAAAGTAGGGTTTATTCAAAAACCGACATTTCACAAAACCGCTTTTCAAATTTTAATTTTGCTAAAAAACCGGTTTTAGCCGGTTTTCGAATTTTATATAGAAAATATATTTTTGCTCGAATATTCTGTAATTTATTCGCAAATTTAGTGTGATTTAAAGCAGTATTTGGCTGAATTTATTTATTGCTCAATTTTATGGATAGTAAACAAAATTATTTTAATTTTAATTAGTAGAACTAAAAAATACTAGTTTATCATGATTAAATAACTGAGAATAATTATTCGTTATTCATGCATCATTTTCACATATAAGAATGAAAATATTTTTATGATAGTGAAAGAAGAATTTTTGAATAATAATAAATTTTTAAATAAAATAAAAAAGTTAGATACAAGTTGATACATACTTGTTAATATCAATTTTAGTTTTAAAAACAACATAAACTCGGGTATTGTCTGCTCCGAGCAATTTTAATTGATTAATTTTAAACATTCTAATTGTTGTTTTTGTTTAATGAAACATAATTTCAAAAAACTGAGAACGTCTATCGAATTGCTACTGAAATAAAAAATATTCTCATACTTGCAACCAAATTATGCTTTATTGTTTTTAAAGCCTGATATATTAATTCTAAGCTTTTTGTTCTTTTATTTGTTGCTTCCAGGGTTTAAAACTCTTTTTTTTAAGTTTTAGTCGAGGATGTTACTTCTTCAAGAAGAAGTCACACTAATTCAAAATATACTCTGGTATAAAAATCTAAATTAATATATACAAAACCTTTCTGGGGACCATTGCAGACTGATAAGATATCAAATGCTATTGGACCGATATGATTTTAAGAATCAAAACGCTTTCATCTGTCTTTTATATTTGGCTATATTTGTCATTTTCCATTTATACAGTGAAAACCGACTTTTTTCATTAAAAAACCGGTTTTCGAATTCCATAATTTTTGCCAAAAAACCGGTTTTTAAAACCGGTTTTTGAAAACCGACAAACCCTAGTTAAAAGTTTATGTGAATAATAATACAACCATTCATGCAGAACGATAAAAATAGACTGACTGATTATATATTCTTTAACTAATCACATGCATCACAAATATTATTAACAAGTGTAGATTGACACAAAACAAAAGAGAAAAACATAAACATAGAGTAGGCATAGAGCATTCAGTTTCAAACTTCAACAAGAACCCTTTTTTCAGTGCATTGTCAGTAAAGCATTCTATCAGAGCAGTCCGAGTTTGAAAAATTTGATCATAAAATTCGCAATTTAATTTAAACATTTGCAGAGAACAGATAACTATATTATATTATAACTTTCCCCACTTCAGAATATTAAAAAAACTAGTGGGGTGTATGGCATCGTGCCTTAAGGCAAATTGCTGGAACTTCCCGTACCGTAACGAAATGTTCGAGGAATACTGAATGTTTTCAAATAGATTATTATTAATATTGTACCATTGTCTAATATTTATAAGAATTATATAAACTGTTAAAAGTTAAAATTATTTGTTTAAAGTATATTAGAACTATAGTCAGAATTAAAAGTAAAATCTGAATTATTTTCAATATACAAAAAATTTTTTTTTGAAAAAAAAAGTTGAAACATAATTTTTTTTCCAAAATTAATTATTTTGTTAAGACAAGCAGAAAGTTCTTTGAATCATTTAAATCGGACGCTTAGTTCTCTCAAAAACTGCCATTTTTTACACATTAAGCTCGGTATCTTGGAAATGGCTAAGCCTGTCTTTGCTAAAAACTAATAACCACTTCTCCCAATCATTACTAATTGAATGTTTTTTAGATCATTCAAATCGGATGCTCCGTTCTCTCAATAATTCGATTTCTATTTTCTGCACTCTTTGCTTTTTATCACCGTAACTGCTGGACCTGCCTTTGCCAAAAACTAATCAGCACATCTCCTTATCAATAGGAATCGAATGTTTTTTAAACCATTCGAATCGGTTGATCCGCACGCCCAAAAACGTGGACGAAAAATTGTATCCATACATACACACACACACACACACACATCCATTTTTTCTGAGGTATGCCAAAACGTTCAGAAACCTTCAAAACGTAAAAATTTTCAATTTCGATTTTCGGCCCATTACAATAACTTACCCTACGGGAAGTTAAAAACTAGTGGTGCATGGCGCCATGATTTAAAATTCTAACCTTGCAATAGTAGAATATTAGATTATAGCGGTATAACGATATATATTATATTCTTTAACTAATCACATGCAAACAAATTTCGATTTTCGGTGTTTTTGAGAGTTGCGGATCGCCAGATTGGCTTGGACGGAATGAACCTCATATCAAATACGAGATTCATTCTGCGACAAGTGCTAATAGAAGGATCTAACATTTGCTGATAATACAACATGCAAATCATAAAATATCTTATGGCCTTGTCTGAAAATTTTATCGTACCTTTAAGCAACACATTTTTGTTTTAAGATGATGGCCAATAACAAATACATTTTAATTATGAGTACATACCTCAATGAATCTATCCAACGAAGCAATTTATTCTTATTCATGCGCCTTCTTTACTTAATATACACGCATGATTGGTGACACAGATATGCCGCATTATTATTAAAAATAAATAAAATCCGCGATTATAAAAAGCAATATCAATAACCATCTCTAACTAGCACATAAGTTTGAACAAAAACCTGTCGAAATACGAAATAAAACTTGTCAAACGCCATCTTGTTTGGGCCGTCGGTTGCACTTTATGAACTTGCCCGTTCCCTATATGTGATAAATATATTCTCATCGGGCAATGCCGGAAACCTATAAATAACACAATTATTCCTTACTTCATTATTGTTTACCGGCTGTCAATCGGTTCGAGTTGTAGTTTTTGGTAGTAGCACTTGTGCAAAGTTTTTTATTATTTAATTAAACATGCAGTTTAAAGCAATCGGTCGTGTGTTGTACAAATTGTGGAAACAAAGTCATTTTTGCTATTTGTTAAATAACAAAAATCTTGTGGTTAAGTTTCAAACTCTTTGGACTCTGCATATGTCAAAGATTCAAGGTAGGATTTATTGTCTTTACTTTTTATTTACATTAAATGCTTGTAATATGTACAGTAAATATTTTTTTACTGGTACGATACCCCTCCAGAATTTCAGGTGAAACATATATTTTCGCTATGATATTCTTATAATATTCCAACTAGAAATCTAGATTTAATTGACATTTTACTTTAAGGCAAGTTATATATCAACTTCCTGATATGTATAAATAATTTGCTTACCTAGAACTGAAATTTAGTAACTTTTCCAATTTTAACATTTAATATTTTTAACAACTTAAATTATAATTCACTTTTATAAATTACCTTACGGCACTATTTGATAAATATATTCGCATCGGGCAATGCCGCAAACCTATAAATAACATAATTATTGCTTACTTCATTATTGTTTACCGACCTGTCAAACGGTTCAGTTGCAGTTTTTGTTAGTAGCATTTGTGCAAAGTTTTTTACTCCATTTTTAATATTTCGTAAATGTTTTAATTAAAAATGCAGTTTAAAGTAATCAATCCTGTGTTGTACAAATTGTGGGAACAGAAACATATTTGCTCTTTGTTAAATAACAAAAATCTTCAGGTTAAGTTTTCAACACTTTGTAACCGGCGTATGTCAAAGATTCAAGGTAGGATTTATTGTTTTCTTTGTAGTACATGACTTGTTTAATGTCTGTCTTTATTATGTATCGTTATTATTTTTTATATTTACATTAAATGTTTATAATATGTACGGTAAACATTATTATTATTCCTTCAGAACTCCAGGTAAAACATATTTTTTCGCTATAATATTCTTATAGTATTCTAACTAGAAAAATGGGTGCAAATGACATTTTGGTTTTAGGCAAGTTATATAAGATCTTCCTGATATATATAAATAATTGACGTACTGAAAACTGAAATTTAGTAACTTTTCCAATTGTGACGATATTATTTTGAAATTTTGACGGATCAATTTCCAAACTTTCATGATTTTTTATAAATATAAATAAAAGGCCTATGATATTTTAGGATGCCCGTTAAGACCAACTCACTTTCATACAAAGTTTCATCAACATTCGAAAAAAATGGCAATTAATTACGAAGAGACGTTCTAACAACAATTAATTACCAAGATCTCTGGCCGATCTTAAATGAAATGCAATTTCACGATTTTCCATTTTTGTATCATTCGATTCAGAATGACTAGCAATGTCAATAAAACAAAATTAACAAATTGGACTTTCTGCCGATAACATTCACTAACTAAGAGTAATCAAGATTGATTACACTTACAATTGGGCAGAATGATGGCAAAATCTCTATTAGCATCTACTTTTTATCCTGAAATTTATTTTTTCAAGTCCATTTTAGAAACTTTTAGAACCAACTCATAGGTATTTCTTTTTTCTTCAATGGGAATATATAGGTATCTTTTATTACTACATGTAGGTATATATATCATTTTGTTCTTATTTATACCATGAGATTTTGAAAAATCACTAACAAAATTTTGAATTTTCACGTTTTGGTTTTGGTTCAAAACTTTGGTCGTACTCTTAAAGTAAAATACCAATATAGTAATATAATTTAATATGTTGTATATGTTATTATTAATTAACATATTTTAAACCTCAACATTTTTTACTTATATTTATAAGGCAAATATCAGAATAGTAAATACTATTGTAGGAGATTGTGAGCTGATTTTCTATGACTTTGGAAAGGTTTCTCCATAAAGATACATTCATTATCTTAACATTTGTATTTTAATATATTAATTTCAATACAAATATTGTATGTATACCTAATAACGATTTTATAACGATCATTGTTACCTCATTTTGGTTTAAAAATTTTGATTCTCTATCTTGGCTGGTTCATTACTTCGATATTCTATCTATGGTAGAGACAGATGGAGACAGAATTTATGCACTAAATATATCGCTCGATAAACTTGCCCTCAATTTGTCTTTTTAAATATACAATAATTTTTATATTAGCATTTATTACAAGTAAATTTTATACTTATACCCTGGGAAACGATACAATTTAAAAAAGTAGTACTTGATAATATTTTTCTTTCAAAAATCATGTTAATTCAGGACATAAATTTAAAATGTATGTCCTGAAGTAACATAATATTTTGAAAAAAATTAGTACAAAGTACTACTTAGCATTTTTTTGATAAATTCCAAATTTATAGTTCCTTAAAAATAATCAGAATTAAGAGTTTTTAAGTTAAAAAAATACAAAATATTCACAAAATTTATTAAAAATAATATTCATTTTAAGTTTAAAATTTACAATAATCTACATTCGAGACTACTTTACATTGAGTTCACTTTCTCAACATTTATAAGATCTTGAAGTATATGAATGAGATGTTTCATTCTTCATGAATAATTAAAAAAAGGAATTAAAAAAAAACCAAAAAAATATATAAACACCCACTAAAAATTATTATTACATCTCAGATTATATAGTCGTTTAATACACCTTTTACTCAAAATATTATTAATTATAATTTTGAGTGATTGAATGGAATGAGGAGTCTTCATTTTATTTTTTTTAATTTTAATATTTAAAAGTTCTTGAAGAAAGGGACATTCCAGATTCCTAAAATGATGAAAGAAACATTGGAAAAAAATTGTAACAGAGACTTTCAGGAAGTTCAAAAAAAAATTCATAAAAAATATTGGTATGCATTTGTGAATGTGTATGTAAATATTAACAAGAAATTTCTAGTATTTTTTTAACTTACAAATATTTTTAATAGAGAAAAGTTACTAACGGGTGTTTAATATTAATTTTTTTAATTTTAATATTTCAATGTTTCTGAAGAAGGGGACATCTCATATCCTTCAAATGCCAAATCCCAAAAAAACTTTTAAAAACAGAGGTATTTCTAGTATTATTATAATTTTCAAATATTTTTTAATAAATTTTTCAATTATAATAATTTCTGATTAATACAAAGTCTGTATTCAATGTACAACCTAATATTTTCTTGAAATACTAAAGAACTTGGTTAAACGTTCTTTTAGGTTATCTGTATTCTCAATTTGCGCAAAATAAGATAAGCACAAATGCCTCGACGCACTAATACAGAAATTATTTATTGCATACACGTGAATATGGAGAAAAAGATATGAATACATGTATTTGGATATATTCATATTTGAATTCATAAATTTAATATTTTTAAGAATTAATAACTTCAAAAAAATAGTACGAAGTACGAATGTGAATAGCATTATGCTATCTAATAATTGCTTCATTTGAATAAAAATTATACTTCAGAACTTCAACGAATATAGTAAGTATGAAAATATCACTTTTGAAGAAGTAAACAAATTTTAAGCCTTTAATCACCAATAATTATGATACTACATTTCGAACAAACGCAATTTTCATTACATAAGTTTTTGAAAGTTGGTCTGTTAGTTTTATCTATTCTTACACTTTGCCAAAGGCATGCCATCAATTTATTATAAATATGTATTTCAATTCATATTCTTCCTCCAATATTATCAATAAAAAATTGTTGGTTTTGTTATAAATAACTATTATCAGGCCATTGTGGTCTTGCATCCGACCGCAAGGTGGACAATCTTGTTTGAACAAGGAGTATTTTCAACGAAATGATTTTTTCTAGTTGTAATTTTTTTTGTATCCTGCTTGTAACCTGATTTATGATAAGCACTATCCTGGTTGTAGAAATTAGGATAATTTCTCAATATGTTGTTGAATAAGACATTTAAAATGATTCCTTTGGAAATGATAAGTTGAAGTTCAACTTGAAGGTAAGGACGGATATTTGAACACTGGTAATAAATGGAAGAATCTTTCTTTAGTGGTTTTTTATTGTTCAAGACATTTTTTGGATTTTTCATTTCATCGTTCATATATGCTCTATTCTCAGCTCATAATATAGCTTCAATTGCTATTTTAATTATATTCGGTTGGTAAATCTACTTTGTTCATATTATTTAGTATTATTACTTCTAGTAATTCCAATTTCTGTTATTTCTTTCTATGCATTCAGAACATAGAATATGTGCTTAGGAATCATAAATTTGGAATTTATAAAAAAAAATGCTCAGTAGTACTTTGTACTAATGTTTTTTCAAAAAAATATGTTACTTCAGGATATAAATTTGAAATTGAATTGTATTGTTATGATATTTCTCCCTAATAAATAATATGGCTTTTTTAGGCAATGGTTGGACTTTCTATATTTGATATACTTTCCATTATAAAGTAATGTTGATATATCTTTACTTCATTCAGCAATATCTAAAAGGGCTATTTTTATCTATAACATACTATCATCTATATTATTAAATATTCGGTTGGTAAATCTACTCTGTTTACATTATTATTTAATATTACTTCTAGTATATTGTTGTGATATTTCTCCCTAATAATATGGCTTTTTTAGGCCAATGTTTGGACTCTCTATATTTGATATTCTTTTCTTTATAAGGATTCTAATAATGTTGATATATCTTTACTTCATACAGCAATGCCTGAAAGGGCTATTTTCACCTGTAAACATACTTTAATCAATATTTTTAAATCAAAATGGATATCACTAGTGCTTGATATCAGGTGGTCCGAAAAGTAGGTTTGAATCTAGGATTTTGTAATTACCACAGCCATAGATAAGGAAAACCACAGCGTTTTGAATCTCCCTTATTAAAATCTAATAATCTTAAAAGATTTTAGTAACTGATAGGAAATAGTTTTACAAAAATTACTATGCCAGTGAAAATCTCTTGTGTGATCATTTAGTTTTTGTGATTATCCTGAAAATGTTTTTGTCAGAAATACGTTATCAAAATTCAAAATAACCTCCTACTATTCTAATTAGAATCATGTTTTGAATGTTAAAGAGTCCAGTATTAATTTTCTTGCGGCTTATATTAGTCGGGTTTTTGGTAATATATATCTATTACTTATTAATATAATTAATATTATCTAGTATAAAATTTTTCAGTATAACCTTATACTTACTAT